TATTGTATAATAGCCATTATGATTGTGGTCCTAGAGATGCTGGTGATGCCTATCTTATGCAGAAAAGGGCATTTGCCTTGTCACTTTTAACATCTTTTAGTAGTTAAAATGAATTTTACAGCCTTGCTTCTATTTATCCTATGTCCTCATGTCTTCTTGCCACTGCCACTCACTGCTGTCCACGAAACAAACCTGTTTCTATAATGGGCTCAGGACTATGCAGACAGATTACAAGAGGACCCACCTGCTGGATATGCGGACTCATGCCTCTTTCCAGCGGCTCCAGCCTATCATGGTGGGTATCCCCCTTCCAAGGTCAGGGTGGGATAGAATACCAAAAATTCATGACATCACAGAAATGGTCTGGTATCCTTAGTGCTGGTATAACAAAAGACAATATATGTAATTGGCCCATTAAAAACACTCTTAAGAGCAAGGGACATGGGAAAAGCTTTTCAACAGAAAGGACTGGCTCACTAGTTCTTACTTTAGCAGCCCCCCAACTAAAAGAGATGGTGGTAACCACACCCCCCAAAATGGTCCATTTTCAAAATGGGATAATGCAAATTTGGGATGGGTTTGTGTGACTCACCCCTTCATTTGGCCAACTCAGCCAAAATGCTCCTTTATGCTGGGAGCAAAGAAATCACACCAAGGACCAATGGCCACACAGTACAAGAGATACGCAGAGGATACCTGGAGAATGCACTGACCGCATTATTATACTACAAGATACTGACTGGGGTGCTACCAATTGGGTACAGTGAGCAGGTGTTTATTGGCGAGCTCCAAATGGCACGCACTGGCTATGTGGCACTAACTTACAGCCATGGTTACCTCCAGGATGGTTAGGACAATGTTCCCTAGGTTATGCTTGGGCACAAGGATGAGTAATTTAGACCCTGCCAAAACCAGGAAACCTTTTTCATTTATGATCTCGCTGAACATGTTGTGTATTCTGATACTATGAACACTTAGCTTCAATCTTCGTTCATGTCATATGGCATATAGAGGTATATAAGATGTTATATGGCATAGAGGCCTTAACAAATTATACCCAAAGGTGTTCAGTGATGGCTGCATGCGTATCTCTTCACTAAACCATGGGATTTCACTTACGAGGAAAGCTGCGGTGCAAAACTGTATGGTTGTGTGTACACGCACTACAGCTCAAGTGGGAGCCTGTACCATCATAAAAATTGAATGTTGTACTTATATTCTAGACTAATTGAATAACATAACCCAACTTATGACTAATTTTAAAACCCAGATAACCAAGCTGTCAGATCCAAAACATCCAGAGGACCACCGAGGACATGCTTGTAACACCTCTTTCCGCCTCCTTATGAGTAATCAGGTGGGACTCCCATAAAGGGGAGTGCCAGTCTTTGCTGTCTCATCCTTACAAGCAGTTGCTGTGAATCTTCTCTCTCCCAGGGTGTACTATCTATTCTGCACCTAACTTTCAAAATTTTCTTATGCAATAAATTAGTCTATGCTGCACTTCTTTTCCTTTTTCTTTTATTAAAAAATGTTTTTTAAAAAATATGGAATGCTTCATGAATTTGCATGTCATTCTTGCACAGGGGCCATCTAATTTTCTCTGTATTGCTCCAATTTTAGCATATGTGCTGCCAAGGCAAGCGCTGCTATGTCTGATTAAATTTTCTTTTTTTTGAGACCGGGTCTCCCTCTGTTGCCCAGGCTGGAGTGCAGTGGTGCAATCTGAGCTCATTGCAGCCTTGATCTCCTGAGCTTAAGTGATCCTCCTGTCTCAGCCTCCTGAACATCTGGGACTACAGGCCGAATCACCTTGCCCAGCTATTTTTTGTGGTTTTTGTAGAGGTGGATTTTGTCATTTTTCTGCTCAAAACTCTCCAGTGGTTTCTTACTTCATAATAAAACCCAAAGTTCTTGCCATTGCCTACAATGCTTTAGCCCCCAGAAAATGAATTCTGTATCATTTTCATGTGTTATACTTTTCCCCCACCACTTCAAGAAATAGCCTTAGCTGCACTAAAGTGAGATTTTAGAATTCATATTAGCAGTCTCATAGCACAGATCAGCTGGGGCTACAATTTCCAGTCACGGTGACCAGTTGCCTTGGCTTTGGCCACACTGTATTCCAAACAATGACAGTAATGGAAAACCCCGTTCTGAACTTATGTCAACTTCATTCATTTGCCAATCAAAGGCCATTTCTGTAGCATCTCTTCACTTGACATTCCATCTTATGGCCAATAACCAGCTTGTGAAATGTGTGGCTCCAACTGAAACTTGTCTATGGGCTGATTCTTTTTTTCCTTTATAGCTTTTTGTCTGATATATATAACAGCAACACAAACCTCATTATTATTATTTTTTGTTTTTGAGAGGGAGTCTCGTTCTTGTTGCCCAGGCTGGAGTGCAATGGCATGATCTTGGCTCACTGCAACCTCCACCTCCCGAGTTCAAGCGATTCTCCTGCCTTGGCCTCCCGAGTAGCTAGGACTACATGTGCGTGCCACCACGCCCAGCTAACTCCTGAATTTTCAGTAGAGACGGTTTCACCAAGTTGGCCAGAATGGTCTCGATCTCTTGACCTTGTGATCCACCCGTCAGCCTCCCAAAGTGCTGGGATTACAGGCGTGGGCCACTGTGTCTGGCCTAAATCTCATTAATTTTTAAAAATTAAGGGGGCTGGGCAAGGTGGCTCACGCTGGTAATCCCAGCACTTTGGGAGGCTGAGGTGGGCAGATTATGAAGTCATGAGTTTGAGATCAGCCTGACCAACGTGGTGAAACCCTGTATCTACCAAAAATCCAAAAATTAGCCAGGCATGGTGGCAGGTGCCTGTAATCCCAGCTACTCAGGAGGCTAAGGCAAGGGATCACTTGAACCTGGGAGGTGGAGGTTGCAGAGTCTAGATTGCACCACTGCACTTCAGCCTGGGTGAGAGCCAGACTCTGTCTCAAAAAAAAAAAAAAAAAAAATTAAGAATGGAAAAATGGCTGGCCTGGTGGCTCATGCCAGTAATCCCAGCACTTTGGGAGGCCAAGGCAGGTGGATCACTTAAGGTCAGGAGTTCAAGACCAGCCTGGCCAATATGGTGAAATCCTGTCTTTCTACTAATAACACAAAAATCAGCTGGGTGTGGTGGTACATGCCTGTAACCCCAGGTACTTGGGAGACTGAGGCAGGAAAATCACTTGAACCAGG